TTATCAATTTGCAGCAGTGATAACTTTAATTAGTTACAAAACACTGTATTTGTGTTTAATCTTCCCGTATCCGGATCACTATTTTACTATTTTTATTAGCTGGAAAAAACCATAAGCTTTCGTTACAAACTAGGGGTTCCCGCTAAGCAAATTTGGTAAAATTGATAAATTTTCTCAAGTTTTCCATTTCGAGTTGAACGTCAATATAACATTAGGCATAAATGTTTGCTATAATCGTTTTTGGAATTTATTTATAAATTCTATTGACTACATGTATACATAATTATGAGCCGTATATTTTTTTTTATAAAACTGTAAAAAAATGTTTTTATTTTAGATACCGAATTTGTAATTCTGTTAATAATATTGACGTAGAACTCTGAATACAAGTACACTTGTGTCGCCTGTTTGGAAACGAGGATCAAAGTAAGACATCTATATTCTTTACAGATTTATTACATTTTCAGGTTGCATGTTTATTATATCATTTAGTAATCTGTCATTAAAAAACAAATGTATGAAATGAACAAAGATATTTGTTGTGAAGATATAATTTTATATCAGGCTACATCAGTAAAATGTTTATATTTTCTCAGATGGATTCTAATTCTCTAAATCAAGCCGTTGATATAAATGATGTAGATGAAGATGTTTTAATGGCTGCAAGAATTCTTTATGAAATGCGGTACAAAAACAGTAATGGAACCACTCACTCTGGATACCACAATTATGCTGCTCCAAAGCCTAACAATACCTACTCTGGTAACCACACTAACGCTGCTGCACAACCTAGCCGTGCCACATACTCAGGTGACCACACTTACGCTGCTGCACAACCTAGCCGTGCCACATACTCAGGTGACCACACTTACGCTGCTGCACAACCTAGCCGTGCCACATACTCTGGTGACCACACTTACGCTGCTGCACAACCTAGCCGTGCCATATACTCAGGTGACCACACTTACGCTGCTGCACAACCTAGCCGTGCCACATACTCAGGTGACCACACTTACGCTGCTGCACAACCTAGCCGTGCCACATACTCTGGTAACCACACTAACGCTGCTGCACAACCTAGCCGTGCCACATACTCTGGTGACCACACTTACGCTGCTGCACAACCTAGCCGTGCCACATACTCTGGTGACCACACTTACGCTGCTGCACAACCTAGCCGTGCCACATACTCTGGTGACCACACTTACGCTGCTGCACAACCTAGCCGTGCCACATACTCTGGTGACCACACTTACGCTGCTGCACAACCTAGCCGTGCCACATACTCTGGTGACCACACTTACGCTGCTGCACAACCTAGCCGTGCCATATACTCTGGTGACCACACTTACGCTGCTGCACAACCTAGCCGTGCCACATACTCTGGTGACCACACTTACGCTGCTGCACAACCTAGCCGTGCCACATACTCTGGTGACCACACTTACGCTGCTGCACAACCTAGCCGTGCCGCATATCCTGGTGACCACACTTACTTTGCTACACAACCTAGCCGTGCCACATACGCTGGTGACCACACTTACGCTGCTGCACAAT